GGTGGGAGCGCCGCCGCGCTTCCCAAGCGGCGCACTATCCAGTGCACCACCGGGCCGGCCTGAACTTTTTTTTCACTCAACACTGTGAAATGCATTTAAGTTGAGGTAACTAATTTATTCATTTTTATTACCATACAGTAGCCTATTGGATAAATATATGTAATTTATCAACCCTCCTGCAGAGGACATTCTGATTGCTTCTCCCTCTGCTACCATCACCATTAGGAGCAATGTTGCAATGAACACTGTCTTTGCACAGGTAGGCTATTTGCTCTAGGTTACACACCTGGAGTGGAATTGTTGGGTTGTAGGGTACCATTAACTAATACAAGTTTCTAATTGGCCATCCAATGTTACTGAATCAATTTACATTCCCACCAGCAGTGCATAAGAATTCTGCTCTGTGCACAAATCCACATCCTCACCAATACTGGCACAGGCAGTTTTAATTTTTTGCCAATCTGTTAAGTGTGAAATGGTACATCCTCAGTTTTAATTTGCATTTGCCTAAATATTAGTGAATGTAAGCCTCTTATGTTTGCTGCCCAGTAACTATTTGCTGCACAAATGAATAAAAAAGTTTCCACTCATTTGCTGTTTCTGGGATTTGTGCATCTGTCCTGTTTGATTCCTGCATAGGCCCCATTCCTGGACTCCACATCTATACTACTTTGGCTTTCAAACCTTGCCTTCTACCAGACTGTCCTTTCACATCCCACTTGTCTCTTGGGCCAAATCCATTTCTGGAGCTCATTTCTATCTTGGTTTTGTCTTTATGACTATTGCTCATGACACTGACCTGTTCCTGACCACCAGTTCTTCTATGACTTTGCCCTGGCCTGTGCTCCCCTGTCTAATCCCCATCTTCTCATTTGCCGACAAATATATTCTCCAGTGTGTGACTGAGACCTGGCATCTGTGACTTCAAGCTCAGTGTGTCCAATACCAATCATAAATTTATGTTGCAAACAGGCTCACTCCTCGATTTCATGTTTCTGTCCATGGTACTAGTAAGCCTGTGCTTCTTAGCCAATCTCAGTCTCTCCGTTCCCAAGAGACTGTAGGGAGGAAAGTGTACTGTAAGCTATAGGGAGCAACCAAATCTAAGGTATTATGGCGTTTAACCAGTCAATAACTGCATCAATTTTTCCTCAGTAGACTCTTCCACAGCTTTTCCTTCCTTCCCACTTCCATCATCTTAATCCTGCTGTCACCTCACTCACTGATTTTTGCAATAATCCAGACTGGCTGGGGAGAATCCCCAAGGTCCCCAATGCTGTCTGTAGGGGATCTATGAGGAGGTTTCACGACTATAGTCAGTCCTTCATCCTTAGATCTCGAGGAACAATTTCTGGGAGAGGGGAAAGATCATGATTATATCGCCCGAATGAAGACCTTTGGTTGTGCGATCTTAAGTCGGTGTTGAAGACAATTATTGGAAACTGTCATCAGCCGTATTGCCCCGCACTCCGTAAAACAGTGTGAACACCCTGGGTCTGTCACATACGACAGAGCGGGAGACTTAGAGCCGGGGACGTGTCCTTTCAACAGCGTTAGCTGCTCACTGCACCCCGATGGTACTGTCTGCTCCGCACCCTCAGGCCAGAGGCGGAGACCACGAGGTTACAGGGTTTGTTTCTGCTTTCGCTTTAGCAGCTTCCAGCGCATAAGTCACTTTTAGACACTTTCATTTTGAAGAGCTTGGGAATCAAATCCCACAGCATTTCAAAGTCCTAGAAAGAAAGCCTGAGTCTTCGAGCAACAAATTTGTTGTAGAACATTACGTTTTCTAGATAAAAAAAAAAAAAAAAAAAAAAAAAAAGAAAACGATCCCTGAGGCCTTCCTGAGCTCTACTAGGAGAGGATCCCAGTAGAGTCCTTGAGGCTGTCAGGAAGGGGTCCTTAAGGATCCACTAAGGTTTTAACAGATCCCTGGAGATTCTCTGAGGTTGTCTAAGGACAGGATCCCAGGAGAGTGCCTCAAGCTATGCAGCAAAGGAGCCTGAAGATCTGCTGAGGTTGTGTCTGGAGGGATCACCAAAGATCTATTGAGATTGCCCCTTAGAAAACATTCCTGGAAAGTTTCTATGGTGGTGGCAAAAGGGGACCCCTGGAGAGTTCCTGTGGTTGTCATTCAATAACATCTATGAAATGCTTACTGTATCAGGAGCTGAGGCTGTCACTGAGGATTAGAGTATGACACAGATCCTACCTGGCTCTATCTTACAAGCTACGTGTGGAGAAAGATATAATCCAAATGCAGTCGTGTAAACGTTGCAGGGTGTGTACATGGAGCTGTGCAAGACCTTGCCCTTAGGGACAGGGTATAAAACTCAAGTGTTACAAGAGCTGAGAGAGCCACTAACTCTCTCTGTTAGAAAAGAGTAGAGCGTCGAGGGCATTGTTGGCATATGATTCTGATGATGCATATAAAGTACAATGCCTTGCACAGAGCAAGTAACCAACGTTACCTACCATCAAGTGGTGTGTCAAGGATCTCCCACATATTACACTGAAGCTCCACGCTGAAATGCCAGCCCTGGGACCCCTCAGTCTTTGGTCCAAGGCCCAGAGAAGTATAACGCAAACCAGGTGAGCCATTTCAACTTTCCTGATAGTCATATTAGACACGTGAAAATAGTTTTAACATTTATTGAACCCAATACTTCCAAAACATTATTATTCGACATATAATCAACACAGAAGCTAACATCTGCATCCCAAGTCTCTGGAGTACTGTGTGTATTCGGCACGCACGGTACACCGCCATCGGACTAGCCCTACGAGCGCGCGAGGCGGTGGGCTGGGGCCTGGCCTAAGCCCTTATCCTCCGCATAGGCCCCACGTCACTGTCCCCAAGGCGCTCTGGACAATCTCCACCCACGTGTCTCAGCATTTATCGATCCCCTCGGTGCCTGGCACACAGCCTTGGCCGCCACCCGCCGCGGGCGCGCTTTCCAGCTTCTGCGTCGTCCTGCCGCTGGGTCAGGAACGGCGTCCTGCTTCCTTCTGCTCCAAGGCCGGTGCTAGAAAGCCCTTGATGAAAGCGGCCAGAGGCGGGCTCAAGTCCTCCCCGGCCGGGTCGGGGAGCGCTCGGAGCCGGCGGCTTCCCCACGACCAGCCGACCAACCCGGACGCAGAACCGGACCGCCCCCGCCCCCACGCGGCGTCGCCTTTTCATGGCGTCGGGCGCTCCGCTTGGTGCGTCACACGCCACCTGAGACGGAGGCGGGACTTCCGGGCGCGCGGAGGCACAACTTCCGGAGGGAGGCGGAAGAGCCGCTGGGCTCTGCGCTCGGGAGTCCCGGGACCGCTGAGGGGCCACCCAGGGCATAGGGAAGGGCCGCTGGGGGCGGTCCGGCCGCACTCGGGGTGTCCGGGCCACAGGTCTGAGGGATGAGGAGGGGCCATGGCCAGCGACGGGGCGAGGAAGCAGTTCTGGAAGCGCAGCAACAGCAAGGTCCCGGGCAGGTGGGTGTGACGGGGAGGGCCGGGTCGGGGTCATGGGTCATGGGTCAGGTGGCCTCGTCGGCCGGCCGGGCTGCGGGTGGAGCTGGGGTCTGGGGAGGCCCCTGGGCGGTGTGGG